AGTGCTGTTGAGTCGGTTCCGACCCATAGCGACCCTGTATAGGGTTTCTGAAGAGCAGCTGGTGAGCTTGATAGTAGTCCATGCTTATGCTTCAGCCCCACATCTCTCTAACCCTGGAATATTTCTGTGCTTTTCAGTTTATATCGCGTCAAAACTGCAGTCTTGGCGTCCTCAAGGAACTCAAATCGTGTTTCTCTTTAATGATTTTGAGTTTGGGGAACAAAAACAAGTCTAGAGATGCAAGATCAGGGTTGCAGGGTGAATGGGGTATAATTTCTGAATAAAGTTCTCATACAACAGGCCATATTACCGTCAAAGAATTTTACCAACTTTAGTAGCTATCTCATCAATGGTAATTCTACAGTGTTCTTCCACCAGTTTCTCCACTCAGCCAGTTTCTCTATTAGTTGAGGTTGGTAGTTTTTCTTGGCCCATCTTTGAGATCTTCCCAACCTTCATATAACACTTGATCCATCAAAAAACTTTTAATTGTGGGGCAGCATTCCCATAAACTTGTTGCAGAGCTTCAATGAGTTGGGAAAATAGCCACTTGAGTTTTGTTAAAAATGTGCTATTAACTCTGACGGCAAAATCATTTTTATCCTTGGCAAAACAAAGGGATTCCTTTATTTATTTATTTGAAGATTAAGATTAAGAGAGTATTACTGAGAGAACTTGCCTTTAGCCATTCACTGTTCAGAGACAAGTTAAAACACTTTTTCTTTGTAATAAACATGTGCACATGTGAACTGGAATCCTAACAGCAATATGTTGGCTTTAGAACATTTGTGGAAAAATGGAATTTTTCCAAGAACTTTTTGAAGTCCCCTTGAGGATCAAGGTGTGCCTGACCCAAGCCATGGTATTTTCAATAGCCTCATATGGACGTGAAAGCTGGACACTGAATAAGGAAGATTGTAGAAGAATTGATGCCTTTGAGTTGTGGTGTTGGAGGAGAATACTGAAAGTGCCATGGACTGCCAAAAGAACCAATAGATCTGTTTTGGAAGAAGTGCAGCCAGAGTGCTCCTTGGAGGCCAGGATGGCTAAGCTTCCTCTCTCTTACTTTGGACATATTGTCAAGAGGGAACAGTTGCTAGAGAAGGATGTCATTCTGGGTAAGATGGAGGGTCAGAGAAAAAGAGGAAGACCCCCAACGAGATGGATCAGCCAGGTGGCATCATTGATGGCGTCAACTGTGGCAGCGGTAGTGAGGTTGGCCCAGGATCGGACATAGTTTCGTTCTGCTGTGCATGGGGTCGCTATGAATCGGTTCCGACTCAATGGCACCTGACAACAACAACAATACTTTTTTGACTTAGACTCATAGATAATATATTTATTGGCTATCCGTATGTTATGATACCTTGGTTTTTAAAAACAATTACTGCTCATTGATTGTTACATTTGATCTGTATTTCACTTTTCACAATTTTATTTCAGCCACTCATTAATTTAAATATGATTTTAGTAATGTTGTCATTCTCTGTTATGTCATTTTTTAAGAAGGCATCTAGTGGCAGATCAGGAAAATGAAGGTTATCAAGTAAACAGTAAACTTTGTTTCACTAGTATGACTATAAAAGTGAGATGTTTGTACTAAATGGTTCATTTGATATATAAGCACTAGAATACATGGTCGGTTTGAACCAGCTCTTCTTGGAAACCCTATACAGGGTCACTATGAGTCAGAACCAACTCGACGGCACTTAACAACAGCACAAATAAATACATACAGATTATGCATGCATGCTAAGAAGAATATTATTGAGAAAACATTTTTTTCTTATATAATGTACATATTTTGTACCATTCAGCAATGGTTTAGATTTGAGAAAAATAACAAAATGGTCAGACCCAAAGCAAATCAGACTTTCAAGAAATTTTTGTTAAACCTGGAATATTTAATAATATTTAGCAACAGAGGGCCTCAGTATGCCTGCTCATACAGAATTCTATAAAAAGCACATACATTAAAGCTAGACTTGGACTGAAATTTTGATTGCCATTAATTAACTTTGAAAAGGTAGCTTAACCTCTCTGACTTTTATCTTTGAAAAGAAGTAGTAGTATCTACCAGGCAAGCTGATGTGAGGATTCACAACGCTATTTCTGAAGAACCTGGCACATAAGAAATAAATGGTAGTTCTTTGGTGTTGGAAGAAGTACAGCCAGAATGTCTTAGAAGCAAAGATGACGAGACTTTCCTTTGGACATGTCATCAGGAGACAGCAGTCCTTGGAGAAGGACATTCTTGGTAAAGTAGAGGATAAGTGAAAAAGAAGACCCTCTACAAGATGGATTGACTCCGCAGCTTCGACAATGGACTTGAACAGAAATAACTGCAAGGATGGCACAGGACCTGGCAATGTTTCCTTCTGTTGTATATAGGATTAGTTTTCCAAGGAGCCTCTGGTGGGTTTGTACTGTCGACTTTGTGGTTTAAACGTGACCTCTTGGTCCAGTGCTTATCCTACAGCACCACATGAGTTGGAACCAACTCAACAGCACCAAACAACAACATAATTACTTTTAAAGTCAGTAGTTTGAACCCACTAGTCTCTCCATGGGAGAAAGATGTGACAGCATACCTCCATAAAGTTTTATATACAACCCTTGAAACTTTATAGGACAGAGCTACTCAAATAGAGTCACCATGAGTTAGACTTGACTTGCCACCAATGGGTTTTATTGTTATCATTACACAATAAGAAAAAGTTAAAAATATATATATTTTTTAACTTAAAAACCCATGGATTTACTTCCTAACATTTGCCTTCATGGGAATGCCAAGGTAACTGTTTCACGATTAAATTTCACTCTCATTAAAAGGTATTGTGGTGCAATAGAAAAATCATGGGTCTTTGGTATCAGTCAGAATGGTTTGATTCGTGGCTGTACCACTTAACTATTGTGATTGGGCAAACTATAGAACAACTTAATGCCCCATATTTATTATGGATAAAATATTAAAGATATTACCTAAAAGGAAAATTGTTGTGGTTATATAATATACTTGTATTATTTATAATATAAATATAGATACTTGAAAACTATTTTAGTATGTTAAAATATAAAAAGGTATATATTCCTCAGTCTTGTTTTCTCTGTTTAAATGGAGTCATTTATATGAGAGAGCTTCAAAAAGATCATGGAAAAATGAAATGAAAGGATGTTAGTTAGACTTTTCCATGAACTATTTGAAGCCTATTGTACATAAAGCTTTGATAGAAAAAGTAAGACAGAGGAGAATCATGGGGGGAAAGTGCAGCACCAGAAATATCAAGACTTTGGTTTCAGTTTTAACTCTGCCTCTAATTTCATATGTTGTTGTTATGTGCCATCAAG